TCATACCGGTGTCCTTGTTTTGTTTATATCATGAAAAATCTGCACTGATGTTAAATAGAAGGATGAATGATATACCAGATTTTTTGATTACCAGTTTGAAATTACAGGAACAAAACAGATGAACATAGGGGAAGGGAAGGAAAAATAAGATAAAAACAGAGAGGGAGGCAAACCATAAGAGACTTTTTTTTTAAATGTTTTTTTATTTATTTTTGAGACAGAGAGACAGAGCACGAGTGGGGGAGGGGCAGACACAGAATCTGAAACAGGCTCCAGGCTCTGAGTTGTCAGCACAGAGCCAGACGTGGGGCTCGAACTCACAGACCGTGAGATCATGACCTGAACTGAAGTCAGACGCTCAACCGACTGAGCCACTCAGGCGCCCCTAAGAGACTCTTAAATACAAAGAATAAACAGGGTTGCTGGTGAGGAGGAGGGAGGAGGATGGGCTAAATGGGCGATGGGCATTAAGGAGGACACTTATTGGGATAAGCACTGAGTGTTATATGTAAATAATGAATCACTGGGTTCTACTTCTGAAACCATTATTACACTATGTGTTAATTAACTTAGATTTAAATAAAATTTAAAGAAAAGATAAGCAAGTAGGCGTCTTTCATGGAATAAATAAATAAATAAATAAATAAATAAAACTGTCCAATATTTTATATAACAGATTTTCCAGTCTTTGGAGTAAGGGTAATTATTGTGCTTAGAATTACACACTACTTACAATAACACTGAATTACTGAAGTGTTCCTTTATTAAAATTGAGAAACGGAAATATGTTTTATGATATCTAAAGTACTATCTCTTGATAGCATGTTTTTAGTCATTCTTCAGTCCAGGTCGTTAATACAGAACACCAACTTTATCTAACTCTCAAAGTAGTCCCGATAGATAACTGCCTCATGTTTCATTTCTCATAATACAAGTAAAATCTGAAGTTCAGATCAAATGTTAAGGTTAAATTAAAGCTCAATATAAAAATTTATTTATTTTCCAATAGATCCATTCTTCATCTGTAGCTTCTACCTTGACTTCAGTGATGAGTTTTTTTTCCACGGAGCTTGTTTTCTTTCCCCTGTTTAATTGACCACAATATGTAGGTTCCTACATGTGGTGAATCACTTCTATGTGACTTTTGCTTACAGGTGACCAAAGCTGCATGCTCTATGATATCAGAATAGGCCACAGAATCTCATACTTTCAGAATTGACAGGGCACAGAGATTTCTTGGTGTACCTCCTCTTTTGGTAAGGAAACTATAACTCAGAAAAATGAAATGGCCTGTGAAGGGCAAGACATCTGGGTATGGCAGAACTGGAACTAGACCTTAGGATACCTGCTTTTTGTTTTCTGACCTAGGGGGTCTTCTCACTCCTTGACAAGTTGAATTTATTATGTAAGGTGAGTTGTGGCATGAATTTAATGTAAAGATGGAGGAATAATTAGAAGAACATAACTGAAGCTTCAAAAGAAAGGACATTCCAATTGATAGCTTTGTTCAGGAGAATATAGAATTTGCTCAGTAGAGCACATTTATGCAGGGCAAAAACAAATAGGCATATTTAAAAGATTATCCTTTCTGGCAAAGAGTGCAGTTTCTAGAGAGACACAGAAGGAGGAAATCTTTGTTCAGTCAGTCGGATCACCACAAGCAATCTCTGCAATTAATGAGTTGACCTACATTATAGCCAGATCCTTTTCACAACTAAATGATCATCTTCTGATACCAAATGACTTTGTCCTTGGCTGAAGGAAGCCACCTTACCCACAGTCCTGCCCCCTTCTTGGAAGCCTCGATATCCAATGACTGATAAAGACCTGGCCCCTCATCCCAAAACAGGACAACTCTGAAGAGCCATACCAGCTCCAGGCCTTCCGGTGGGAACAGCTAAGGTCTCTGTTGTGACTGTATTATGACTCAATTTCCCCCTCTGCCTAGACCTCCTTTTGTTTCTCTGCCATATGTGTCGTTCCCAAGAGCACTCCCAATAAATGTTCCACATGCAAGCCCACCCAGGGAACTAGACATGAAACAAATAGCTTAAAACAAACATTTGTACTTAACACACGTCGTCTACCAAAAATAGCACTTTAACTGAATAAACAGTGAAGTCCTGTGCTCTTCCTGAGCTATTGCAGCTGACCTAAGATGGGGAAGATGTCCATTAGGGAGGGTCAGGGCTTTCCTGTCCCTGCAGAGTTGCACTATATCTTGGACTCAGAGGAGTCAGTGTCTCATCTCCAAAGAAGGTTTCCAATTGACTCCCAGGCACATGGGATTCATAGGAGCCATGAATTTCCCAGGAGGATACATTCTTCGAAGGAAAAAAGGTGCCAGCAGAAACTCAGAAACCACAAGAGCCACAACAGGTGGTCACAGCCAGCGCTTTGCAAAAGACACTGTCTGGAACCAAAGTTCTTCTTAGTGATCAACTCATAAGGATGAAAAAGTTAGTTATAATAGCTATGATTCAATTGGAGTTTATTATGTCCTATACCACCTTTAACCTATTTCATCGAATATAGTCTCCAAAATAGCCTATGGTGTAGCCCTATTATTAATTCAGTTTTACAAATAAAGAGCTAGAGACATTAACAAATTGCTCATGGTACACAGCTAGCAAGTGGGAGCCAAGATTTAAACCCAACAGTCTGAGTTCAGACTCCAAAGGTTAAGCACTTAATCATCCCACTTTTAGAGGACTGTTCTTTTAGTAATTTATGGACAAACCTATGTACAGGCTTAATAACAAAGTTCCTAAAATAAGACGTGGGCATTGCCAACCTGCCAAGCAACCAGAGTGAGTCAAGGACCCACAGAAGAAGGTCATGCAGGAGACTGGGGGAAGCATTTACATTGGCTGCTTAGGGAAGAAGAGCCAGGCCGGGCAGCACGGCTCCTGAGGTAGAATTTATTGCTCCCCTGGCTGCAGCAGTGCAAACTTTCATCACACGATGTGCATTCAGCCATTCACAGCAAATCTTCTCATTATTTACGTTCAAATCTAAAATAAAGTATTCCTTTTAGTATAACGATTAGATACATATTTGAATTGGTTCCACTTCATCTAAGTGGAAGAACAAGATTTGGGTGTCCAAAAGGAGCAAACTGGGAGAAGCAGCACCCCTGTCTTCATAAGATTTTTGCTTTTGTTTTTGCTTTTGTCTGTGATGTGCTACAAAAGACTCTAAAACTGCCACTCTTACCAAAGAGAATTTAGGAAATTACTGACTTCTGTCGAAGCACTAAAAAGAGGGGAAAGTTCGGAAAGGGTATCATCTGCTTGTCCTGATCTCCGTGGTGGCTTCTGGATACTCAGAGATGAGCTATCTCTGGTATATGGTAAATATTAAGTAGAGATCCAGTGAGTCTTTTTTTTTTCCAAATAGAGAGACATATATTACAGAAGATAAAATGGAATTTGAAGAATTATATTTCTGTGTTATCTAACTTTTGTATTTTTACATATGGAATTGTCATACGCTTTAATTCATAATGAAGACAGCTTATTCTGTAATTGATTGTAATTACAGATGGGAAAGCAAATGAAGATATTTCCCAGATGAGCGGACTAAACAATTTCTAAATAAATGTATGTTGAAATTAACCTAAGTAAGGAGAGGTCAGTTTACCATTCTTAAATAAAGTTAGGAGTCTCACTTGCTTAAAAACACTACTTTAATTCCAGGTGTTCTTTTTTCTTAAGCCATCACTTAGAGGTGACATCTTCAAAGCAGGTGCTGCCCGGGTCTGTGACATATTCTGCACTATTCATGCAGGGTGCAAAGCTGGGGCTGTCCAGTGCCATCCCAGGAAGAGGTACACACAGGGGTAGATCAGATAAGTTTTCCAATGATTGAAACATAAACTTTGATCTTGGGAATTTTGTTATCTGGTATTTTGTAGGATCCATAATCTTAAGGGGAAAAAAGTTTTCAATGAATTAGTAATGGCTTGAGACTCAATATACTGCAATATTCATTGCAGTAGTTGTTTCTTTTATAGTCATGTTTGATTAGTATTTGAAATTTGCAGGAATTGCAATATGCATGGTTTTCAAAGCCCTTCACAGAATTTCATTTTTATCAGTCAGCAAGAGTCAATGAAAAGGCAATAAGAAAAGCTCTATGGGATATTTTTATAGGAGTGTCAAAAGTCAGTAAGCTAACTACATGAAATAACCCAGATTGTACAGACAGAGTTTGAGCAGAAACACTTCAGAGACGTTATATCTAGTATTTTGACTTTTACATGCCCTTGGAGAAAAAAAGGAGCGCTAGCTACAAAACCAAATACGGAAAGGAAAGGAACAAACCATATGCTTAAGAATAATTACCGTTTCCATTTTCCTACAAACGAAATGTGAAGTTTCAAAGATAAAGTGTAATAGAAATTGAGCTGCTTTGGTGTGTCTAAAATATTGCCAAGAAAGAAAATTCTCATTTCCCTTGCTAACTCATCCCAGATTTCTACAATATGGAAGTTAGTAGCAACGCTATCAACTTCTCCACAAGTCCATTTGTTCTTGTTTTGCTTTTAGTAGAGATGAAAAATATCAGATCATCACCCCTAGAAACAAAACCATCATAATTCACATATACATTAGGTTACTTCTTTGACACATCTTTAAATTAAAGACATCTCAGTTGCTATAACCTCTTCTGAAGCCATTAATCCTCTTGTTAATTCTAGCAAAAATTTAAAAATATTATTGTCATGATAATACAAGCAATCTTAAAACACATCCTTGGCCATGAAAACCATAAATGAAGAGAATAAAATAGAAATAAAAAATAAAAAAGAACAATGAACAGACTTATTGTGAGTGTCTAATATTACACTGCACTTAAAACTACATCTCAATGAGATTTGCAATTCAGGCAGTCACTTTGAGAGAGCCATATATTCCAAGCAAAGTGGTAGTAACAATCTGTAAATTATGCATTTGTCATGTGGGCAATTAAAACCATTGTCACGTGGCTTAACTAACCTGTGGTTACATTGGTGGCTGCTAAGACAGTTGCCCCACTCTTGCTTTTCTCTTTCTCCAGATCGGCCGAATCATTTTGACAACCAACTGGTACTTTTGAATCCAGGCCAGCTTGATTTGAGTGCAGTTTCTTGTCTACATGGAGACTCTGAAATGACACAGGCCAGAATGATTGATTTCACAAGTAAATTATCAGTCCAAAATAAATGCTTCCCAGAGATATGACAAGGATAAACATTTATCATATGGCAAGTTATGTCTGTATATCTGAATCAGAACATTCGAAATGTCAAAGTGAGTTACAAATTACATTTTCATCAATATATTTTGGTAATCTACGTGTGGAACTTTTTAGGCAATCTGAGTGACTAGAATAAGAAGTCATCTGAGACTCAGAAAATCATCTTCAAATCCTGTTTGTGTACATCATTTTCTTCTTGTAAAGTTTATAAGATATTTCTCATTTAACACATTTTCACTCAGTTTTTATTCTTAGAGTTAAATTCTACAGCATTTCACAATGTGTTACATAATCACATATTGTATAATGAAGAGCAGGTTTCATTTCTGCATTACCTGTGGCCTTTATGTAAAACAAATCATAGCATCTACTTTAAATTAACTCATATTTTTATCAGCATTATGCAAACTTGACAAAGCTTCTGTACTCAATTTAAGAATAATAATTCCTCCTAACAATGAATTATTAAGGCACAACATCAATGGACCCTAAAACACCTCTCACATATGAGAGATGTCACAGTGTTTGATGTAATACTGACATATTGTATGCTTCAAAAGAATCATCAGATAGGAGCAAAAACTAGAGACCTAAACAGGAAACTGAACTTTCAGCACTTTGAACCATATTCAAATTCAGACTAGAGGGTTTTCAGTTTAAACATGGTTACATAATATTCAAAGATTCATAGAGTCAAAATTAGCCAGTCAACATTGGCCATCCATATTAGCCACTTTGGTTCACTAAGGGATAGGATAATGAACAATTTTCCTTAAGTTCCTCGCGCAGACTGTGTACAGCATTAAGTTTATTAAAAGCTTTATCAAAAGCTCAAATTAAAGGCTTTTAAAGCTTGGAAAAGGCCAATCAGGAAATTAGGGTCCATCATGATTAAATAATTAACCCAAATAAACAGAATGAATGGTGCCGAGCCTCAGGGATACGTCTCCCAACCCTTAGTCCAGTGCTTTTCACACCACTGTGCAATCCATTTGTTCATTTATCCATTCAATGTGGTGGATTGGTTACATTGATGGCCCCATTTCTTCACCTCTCTCTGTATCCATGTCCTTCATGTAATTTTGCCATGTCCTTCTACTTTGACTTTTGACTTGTCCATGTGACTTCTGGATCAACAGGATATTGACGCATGCGACACAGAGACTTGAAAGATAGTTCCACAATTGGCTTTGCTCATTCTTGTCCTTTCACTACTCCATGAAGACATGCTTAGACTAGCCTACTGGGGGTTGAGTGGCACAGAGAGTAAAGTCAGGTTACCCCAATCATCAGAGCTGAGACAACCAACAGCCAGTAGAAACCCAGACATTTGGGTGAACCAGCCTTGATCAGGTCAGCTGAACTCCACAGTTTCGTGGACTAAATAAATGTGGTTTGGCTATATGCATTAGATTTTGCTGGTGAGTATGCAGCATTGTGTGGCCATAGATAAATGATATATCCAATTTATCTATAGAATCCCAGATACTGGGTACAGTATGAGAATACAAATGTAAATATGACATAGTTTCAGACTTTAAATTGTTCCAACATAATTTCTTAAATTGTTTAAGTGGAGAATTAAAATAGAGTGCGGTAAGTCATTTGTAGATAATTCTCAAATTCCTTCTCTACTAACAAAAGATGGGATCCAGGTGATCCTATGGGGGACAACTCAAAAGATCAGCATTTGAATGTCGGTATTGGCCAAAATTAAACTGCTACACCTGTTTATATTTGACTCATCCACAGCCCAGAAAAATTTAAGTCAGTATGAATTTTTAAATTTGTTGTCAGGCTTGTCACATAGTTTGTATTGGCCCATAGCTTTGAAAAGAAGCAGATTAAACTAGAATTTAAGTATTTTTGATATTAGATGCCTTTGGAAAATATATTCATTCAATGACTATTAAATCATAGTTTTTTCAGTATTGAGTAATAAACTAGGATAAAGAAGAAATGTGGCTTCTTGTTTTTTCATTCCAAATTCAATCAATATTATTAAAATATTGAGGGACAAATGTAAAAATTCATGAAAATTATGATAATTATAACCAGATTTCAAAGAAGAAACACAAAACTTAAATAAATTTCTGAAACCTGAAACCTGTAACATGAAAGGCTGAGCAGATCAAGGCTGACCATTTGATCATAATGGGTCAAATATTGCACAGGTCTGGTGTATCTTGGTGCAAATCTCTGGCAGATTGAGCATTTTATAAATACATTAGCATTTCAATAATTAAGAACCCCACTTTGCTAAATAAAGGCAGTCCCCACACTGGTCTCCTCTAGTGGAGCCATGTCAAGTTTTTCAACCTCTCCTTTTTTTTACTTGTTACAGCCTGGTTCCTATTCCCTAGTCCTAATGTAAAAGGAGTTAGATGTGTCTTAAACTGCTGATCCTGCTGTGTTCTCTCAACCTTGTTTACTTAAAGTCAGTCTCTCCCTCCAGTTCCTGGCTTTTCAAACCATCCACAGGTACTAATTTTCTGCTTCAAAAAATCTCCATAATGCTCCATTTTTCACCGCCCAAATGCCTTCCATTAAGCATCAATCCCTTCCTCTTTCTCTTCCTTCTTATCTCTCAGATTCTCTCAGATGCCTTCAGAACTTTGCTCCATAGTTTGCAGTTTTCACCACATATTCAACTTTCTTTTAGAACATTGTCACTACCTCCCTACCTTGACTAAAATTCCATTCTCCATTGAGGATAGCACTTCTCCTACAAATGAAGATGCTGCTTATTCCTCCACACTCTAGACAGACTCAAGTTGACATTCTTTTTTTTTTAATGTTTATTTATTGTTGAGACAGAGAGAGACAGAGCATGAACGGGGGAGGGTCAGAGAGAGAGAGGGAGACACAGAATCTGAAGCAGGCTCCAGGCTCTGAGCTGTCAGCACAGAGCCTAACGCAGGACTCGAACTCACGGAGTGTTAGATCATGACCTGAGCTGAAGCCGGACGCTTAACCGACTGAGCCACCCAGGTGCCCCTAGATAGCCTCAAGTTGATATTCTTGCCATAGTACTGTCCACTGCACCCTTACCTCCTTGCTAAAAATCCCCACTGCTTTGATATTCCTGCCAGCTAGGTAGGCACCATCTCCCTTCTTGTTGGTATCATCCATCTACCAATCTCTAGTCACAATCCATTCTTCATTAAAAAAGACGGGATTATTGTTTTTCCTTCCATCCCCATGATCCTGGATGATGTTCATATTTACGAAGACATTCTATTCAACACCCTGACTGGATCTCCTTATTATGAATGAACTTTCCATTTCTCTCCCTTAGACTTTCACTCCCAGAGCCACACCTGAAACCTGTCATAATAACCTTTTCCCCCTCCAAAATCACTAAGTGTCTTCCTCCCTCACCTAATCTCCTATCTTTCATTGTCTGTACTCAAGCCAAGCTCCCATCTCCAACACTGTTTTTTTCCACCAGGACAATTCTTGGACCTCATTGGAACCTGGGCTCCATTGATCGTTCTACTTTCTCTATATAGCATCCATCCCAGTTTGAAAACTTCCATCTGTCCGACTTGATCCTGCTTTAGCCTTCAGCAGCACTTGACATGTCTAGTCACTCCCTTTCTTTGCCTTAAAGTCTCTAATACCGGGGCGCCTGGGTGGCGCAGTCGGTTAAGCATCCGACTTCAGCCAGGTCACGATCTCGCGGTCCGTGGGTTCGAGCCCCGCGTCGGGCTCTGGGCTGATGGGTCAGAGCCTGGAGCCTGTTTCCGACTCTGTGTCTCCCTCTCTCTCTGCCCCTCCCCCGTTCATGCTCTGTCTCTCTCTGTCCCAAAAATAAATAAAAAACGTTGAAAAAAAAATTAAAAAAAAAAAGTCTCTAATACCACTTTGACCATTCACTCTTAGTCCCCTTTGCTATTTCAACCTTCTTTACCTACACATTGACTGTTAAGACTTTCTCAGAGTTTTGTTATTGACTGAGCTGTCTTTGTACCATCCTAGATAATTCCAACAATCGTGTGGCTTAATTTACTGTCTATGTGTTTATGACTTCAGGGGTGAAGTGGAGATTTATAAAATGAGATGACCAAGGGCTTGTGTGCTATGATAAGTACTCTGGATTCCAATTCTAAATGTGCTTTAGCTTTACAACTCCACCACTATTCCTTCCTGTCTTAAGGCTTGGATCTTCTGTTTGCCTAGAACATTCCTCACAAACTCTTCCTCTTTAAAAAAAAAATTAATGCATTTTTATTTTTGAGACAGAGACAGAGCGTGAGTGGGGGAGGAGCAGAGAAAGAGGGAGACACAGAATCCGAAGCAAGCTCCAGGCTCTAAGCTGTCAGCACAGAGCCCGACGCAAAGCTCAAACTCATGAACTTTGAGATCATGACCTGAGCTGAAGCCAGACGCTTAACTGCCTGAGCCACCCAGGTGCCCCACAAACTCTTCCTCTTTAATTTATTAAGACTCAAGTTCCTGCAAGTCTCCCTTCACCATGTAGCCTTTAGTCAGCACCTTTGTTTTCTAGGCTTTGAGTACCTTGTAGTTCTACTGTGATGCAGTTTTCACAGTATAATTAAATACTACCTGATTTAGTGTTTAATGTTTATCTCTCTGGTTAAAATACAAACCCACTAAGAATAAGGACTACGCCTGTCTTATTCATTGTTCTCAGTCCTTATCTCAGTATTTTAAATATAGTAGGTATGACATAACTACATGCTAAATTAGTGGAGAAATGCATGAATAAATATAGACTTAATTTTTATGACTTTTTCTTTAGCTAGCCTATCAACGGCTACTATATAGTCACATGTTCATATGCTAGAAGTGATATCCAGTCACTCTGAACAGTAATACTTATTATATATTTGAAAGGAACATATATTTTTAACTTGTTTCACCCATAAAAAATACATATTGCA